CTTCTTTTAAAATACTGTTTATATATATATATATTATATATACACGTGTGTTCCAGGCACTGTGGGCGCTTTTGTTTTTTTAGCCCGGGGCACCTCTGATACTCGGTGTGGTGGCTCTCGCGGATTTCGAGGGACGTACTTATACGTGCCGAGTCGTGGGACGTTGTTTTTTTTTTTTATTTCCGCGAGAGCGCCGGAACCAACGAGGGAGAGAGAGATAGATTAACGAGAGAGATGATACAGTGTGTGTGTGTCGGGGGTTTTGCGATGGACACGGGGCATCATCGGGGGGGGGGGGGGAGGATTGGCTCTTCGACGCGAATTCCGACCTTCGTCGCAAGGTTTGACGTGTGTGTATACGGTGTGCTCTTTCGCTCCGTGGAGGGCATTGGTGTGGTTTTTGGCTGATGGCGTTGGGTATAGCTTCTTTCGTGAGAACGCGGATTTTTTTCGCATTTTTTCGTACGTTCTCCGCGTCGGCGATAATGATGATTATTGTTGCTTGTTTATGTGTTATTTGTACGTGAATCGAGTCCTTTGAGTGATATTCCCTGCAGTGGGTTGTACAGAGGTGAGGTATATAAATTCACCGTCGCAATTCACTTTTGAGCTCTATGGTTCTCGTGCAAGGGTCCGTATAAATTTCTTTGGAAGGATTTTTATTGGGACGGATGTAACTTGAGCCCATGGGTGCAATTATGATAATTCGTTGGGACCTGTACAAATTTAAGTTTGTTTTGTCAGCCCACCACTGAATATCAATGGGCTCTCTCTTCATAGTAATTATAAGGTGCGAAAGGGCAATGAAGTTTTTGGCAACAAAAACATATTTAGATATTCGGTGTTTCGGTGAATCCAGTGGCAATTTTTTTTTTTTTTTTTTTTTTACACACAATATTAAAGTAGTGAGAATAAAAAGGACGCAGAAAAGGATTCTGTATTTTTTATACGGTTGCCCGTGGGTGTGTGCGTGCGAACGAGGCGTCGAAGATTATCATTCGGAGAACATTTTTTTCCCCCAGAGTCGTGAATTATTGTCATTATTCGGGGTGATAATTTTTTTCGCGGAAAAAGTCATTGACCCAACGAAGCTCGAGGGCTTCCTGCTCCTTCGTGCTGCATTACTGTTTGGTTGGATTCGGTTGTGAGTGTGAGAAAAATAATTTTTCGTTTTTTTGTTATTGCCAGTTTCACGGTGTATTCGATTATCAAAACATTTTTTCGCAATTATAATGCACAAAACTCTCGGAAATCATAAATAAATCAAAAAAAAAAATCGCATTTGATTAACATTTTTCAAAAAATAACTTACTTCAACCATGAGTACGACACCCTACTGTTTTATAAAAAAAAAAAATCATCTGGCTTCAATACCGATGCCCGAGAATGCGCCCATATATATTATATAAATTGCACAAATGAACCATACATGTAAACGGATACGCGGCTTGATGATGACAAATTGCACACAACCGCAGCACTCACTCCTCCGGCCATCGGCAATGAAAAGAAAAGAGAAAAGAGAGAGAGAAATAACTCGTCGTTTGTCGCCGCGGCGATCGGCAAAAAGTGGCGGATACGTCGATTACAGCCGCGAGTAACAATTTGCTCTCGCGAAAGTCGCGGAAAGAATTGAGCGCTCTCTGATTGCCCCTGTCGTCGTCGTCGAATCGCTTATGAAAATGTACAGAGCAGCACGAGTTTCGAAAACTTGACTTTATCATTATACGTTTATAAGCACACCCTACGTATATATACACACGGACAGATTAAAAAATTGCAAACACTTTGAAATGAGCGCGGAATTATGCAAATAATGTATAGGAATGAAAAAAAGCACGTATGTAGATATACTTTTCTTGGCCACATTGACAAATACACGACATGTATTTTTTTTTGTTCTTGCTATTGAAACTCTCGCACCTACTCCCGAACTCAGGGCACGCCGTTAATTAACAAACAAAAAAAATGAAATAAAAGAGCAAGTCCCCGGGCACTCGAGTATACATATATACCTACGAGTACATGAAATATGGAAGCTCCCGAGCAGCTGCTCCGCGTTTCGTTTTATTCAATTGCCCCGTATTAGCTAGCCCCGAGGGGGTTCTTTCGAGGGACAGGTGCTTCTTCTTCTTCTTCGCAAGAGAGTCACCTGCACCTTATCCTCGATCTCGGGAACAAGGGTATACAGTATTATTATTATACCCGCACTCGCTTTAATTGGGGCTACTGTAATCATCGTTGATTTAAAATGATGATCGGTACATTTTGCCGCAAAGTAAATTCTGTCCTCGTTAAAAGCCGGTGTTTTTGTTCCGATTGCAGATACCCCGAGTCCAGGTTAGCCAAGCTCTTCAACGGGAGCATCCCCATAGTCCTCGACTCGCTGAAGCAGCACTACTTCATCGACAGGGACGGCGGTATGTTCCGGCACATATTGAACTTTATGCGGAACTCCCGGCTACTGATACCCGAAAACTTTGCCGACCTCGACTTGCTGCTCGAGGAAGCCCGGTACTTTGACATCGCCCGTGAGTATACAATATTCAGGTCACCATTGCTTTTCAACTGTTTTACGCGATAACCCAACGGTGATGATGATGTTGGCAGCGATGACACGGCAGCTGGAGCAGCTGAAGAAGGAGCGCATAAAGAACGGCGGGGCGCCGACGTCGAGCACCCCGAGCCCACCCCCGGACCAGAGCACCAGCCCGGGGGGGCCCCAGCACCGGGGCGCCTCGTCAAACTCGTCCAACAACGTCGGCGGCTCCTCGAGACCGACCACGCCGCTTTTTCGGGAGCAGCACGCCGAGGCGAAGCTCCAGCAGCGGGCCACCGAGGGCTACGGCTGCGGCTACGAGTGCGTGGCCCTCCACGTGAGCCCCGACCTCGGCGAGCGGGTGATGCTGTCGGGGGGCCGGGCCCTGCTGGACGAGGTCTTCCCCGAGACGACCCAAGCCGTCCTGGAGGCGCGCTCGGGGGTCGCCTGGCACGCCCAGGACGCCCGCCACGTCATAAGGTTCCCCCTGAACGGCTACTGCAAGCTCAACAGCGTGCAAGCGATCACGAGGCTGCTAAACGCGGGCTTTCGGGTGGTGGCGAGCAACGGCGGGGGAGTCGAGGGCCAGCAGTTCTCCGAGTACCTCTTCGTCAGGCAATCGTTGCTCAACACCTGACGGGCTGCCGCTGCCGTGGCTCGTGGTGACGACGACGACTGTGGTGTAGAGCTCGTCGACTCGTCGTCGAGTCTCGTCGATCGGCCCCTGACTCGGGGCTAATAGGACCGAGGGAACCTATAGGATGGAGCTGTTTTTTTTTTTCTCCTTTTTTTTTCGTAATCGGCTAAATGACACGTTGTCGTTTTGAATGTTCAACGTTGGCACTTTTGTCTTTTCAATCGACGATTTTTGTACATAATGTATTACGAGCCGAACAATAATGCTCCTGGCAAATGAATAATTATTGAGTTTAAAATCTATATGAAGAAGTTAAGGGGAGAGGAGGGGATGAAAGAAACATACCGAAAGTAACGAAACTCGCGCTACTGCTGCTATTCTGTAAATTAATCGTAATTTCCGTAAGTACGTGTGCGCACACTTTGGTGGAACGCGGGAGGAAGATTAGAGAGGGAGGAGTCGAAATTGTAACATATACATATATATTGGAATCGGGTACACTTGATTCGATTGCATGGGTCTCGGGGCGAGATAAGTGAATCGGCTTCTTCGCGAACGTGTGATTTTCATCGTCGATCTCTTAAGTATTCACCTCGATGATGAACCAAGTGTGTTTGCAATTCCGCTAAAATTTTTTATTTTTTTATATTAACCACATCACATGCATTAATTAGCATTGATACATTATTTTGTATTATTTCACTCATTTTAATAGATAGGATTATGATTGTTTGGNGGCATGATAGTGCACATCCCCACACATAAGAGACCTAGTGGCTAAGCTAGTAGGCTGTCGTGGTGAACCGTAAAAAAAAAAAAAAAAAAAAAAAAAAAAAAAAAAAGAAATGGGTTGAAAACAAATACTACCCGCCAGCAGTTGGATATGGTGTCACAAAAGCAGGCTTCAGATGCACCATAAAGGACATAGAAAAACGGTTCGACTGCAGAGCTAATAGATACGTAAACAACAATATCATCATCCAGCCCCTGACTCTTACGATATACGAACCTGAAAAAATTTTAAACTATGCTTGTACATATTCACCACAACAACAAATGTACCTTGCAGATAATGCAAAAGCCCTAACGAACGTCGTTATAGCCGCGGTAATAGTCCTGATAAGCTTTACGCTAGCCCTATCGATCCTCATTATACGTTATGTAATTTTCACAAAAAGGGCGTTCGAAAATTTAATAACCAAACTAGACCAAACCAGCATCAGCTATACACCCATCGGTAGCATCAACCCTGATTTTCGCTACGACTTCAAAGGCCTGACATGCACTCCAGAAAAAAATATGAACCCCGCAGCCAAAAGGACAGAACAAATTTACGATGTCCCCAACTGTAAGAGTTGCGCACAGCATAGGATCCCTACATAGCGACGGGAAACGAGTCAAAGTCATAAAAGCAGGCACTAGAAAGACCGCACACTATTCCAACGTTCGCAAATATAATCTAATGACCTTAGAACGATAACATCAATGTATCCTGCTACGAAGCCCACCTGAGAGGCCAAAATGGTTGAAAACATTCCAAGTAAAAAGGAAATAGCCGATAGCATACACCCTCGATGTTTTCTCAAGTTTTTCGGTGACCTACCAGTTGGTCTTAAATTTTCCAAACTCGAGACCGTTTTTCTCTCAGCTCCAATTAAAACAAAAAACGCACAGCTAATCACACCCATTTTGTCAGCACCTTACCCATAAAAAGGGATAAAAAACAGTATTTAAATTCGAACGCAACTTAATTTTTTTGCATTATTCTTGAACCTCTCGACTAATATATTTGCTTCAACCATCTCCTATAAAAAGCAAGCTATAAGGATGGCACCCACCAACTACGAAGAAATCAGCTCAGCTTTATTTTTTTTTAGCCTTGCACTACTAGCATATTGGATCGTCGCTAGCATGACCGAACCAAGGACGAGCTCCAAACCCGACAAAATCAAGAAAACTGCAAGCCGAAAACAACCAGAAAAATCAGCACGCAAAAACCAAGGAGCGAAGAACATCATGGCAGAGAGCTCCTGTGGTCCCTTAACTATGGTTGAGCCCGTCTTTACCATCAGCAGCCAAAACTGCCGTTGGAAAACTACAAAAATCAAATGCACTTCATAGTAAGCGAGATATTGTGAAAGAACGAGCTCTTTCGCAAAACTATTCTGGAAACAAGCAGAAACCTTGCATTAGACAAGGCAATGCGACGAGATCTAAGCCTCCAGCTCATACATTGGAAAGTGACTCCACTATCTGTAATTCCACGAAACGACGCTTACGAGCTTTGTTGCCAGCAAGAAGCAGCTGCAGATGACTGTGAAATAACCTATGCAAGTTTCCTAGCAACAACGAACCTTGGATGTAAAGACAGCCTCGCAAACTCACCTAACTTTGGCACTTTCCAACATTATGGTAACAGATTACCAGTCTGCAGATTATGCAGATGTTACCACCGGTACATTCATGTTACCACCGGCACATTAACTAAAGACTGGAGGACGTATGCATCTTTAAGTGCACTATAGAAGACCATGTCAGGGAATTGACGAACCAAATATGTTGTTGGAACTGTGAAGGACCCCCCGAACTCAGCGCAGTTGTGATTACTTCACCAGAACTAGATGATGATGATTTAGAAAATTAAAATGAACTATTTTTTTTTCACAGAACAATGAAAAAAAAGTAATAATAATAATAATGATAAAATATCCGTCTACTGATGTATAGTATGAAATAATATATGTAGTGAGATCTATTCGAAACAGTTTGGATTATTTGCGCAAAACGATGTATTTAACTGTGTTAATAGGAAATATACAACGTATTTGAAAAGTTGTACATTTTCTGTCAAATAATGAAAATAAAACAAGCTTGGGATGAAGCTGAATTATTATTGTAATACTATATGCGTTAACTACTTTGTAAATATATATACGTTTACTTTCGTAAAAGAAATAAATAAAAAGTTGCTCGAACCTCAAAACGCAGGTTGTACTATCCATTATATGAAAAAAGAAAAAAAAAGGATTTACGAAACATAAAACAACGAAAAAAAGTTGATTGTGCAATTTTGACGTAAAATAAGATTTTTGATCTCATAAATACTATCGAAAAAGCGAAGGAAACGGTACTTGAGAAAAAAATGAAAAAGAAAAAACAAGGTTTTGAAAGAAAAATAACGAAACGAGATACTCTATTGATGTTTACACAGCGACTGTACCAAGTCGATGAAAAAGAAAAAAAAATAAATAAATAAAATAAAAATCAAACGCTTTGCTTCAAACGCAGTTGGCTAAATTTCAGGTGGCCAAGGTGCACACGCATATATTTACAAATACACTCTATGAACACGCGAAACTATACGTCGCCAAGGCACGTCAGAAATGTATCTACTTATCACAAAAGCGATTAGAATTGATCACAATAAAAATGTTTATTACTGTAAAACGACACGAGTACTTTTGTTTTTTCTCTTCTTCATACGATATTCACGAAAGTACAAAAACCTCTGTAATTGGAGTATATACTCGCGCGAAAATTTACCTCAGCCCCGAAATATACATCGCCACCTGGGTAAACTTTTATCTCCTACAAATTCCTTTCAAAAAAATTTATGGTTAAAAAAAAATACCAACAAAAAATTATGTTCTCCAAAAGACAACGAGAAATGTTCCCGGGGGCAGAGCGCGCGCCACCAGAGGAACTTTGTCAATGGCCCAGGACATTAGCGTTCGTCCGACGAAAAAAAAACAAAAAAAAAAAAATGAGCAGAGGGGAAAAAAACAAGAAAGCCAACACAGGGAAAAACGAGGACCAGCCCTGGAGGCAAATAGAGAACGAGAGGGGCTAAAGGGGGGGTAACATTACCGCGGATAACGCAAGCCACGCCGCGCGCAGGGTATATATAGTACATAAGGGATAAAGCTCTCTCCGGGGCATACACGTACACACACGCAGAGAGAAAGAGGGGCACGAGCGTCGGCCAGCCGCGGGGCCAGTTTCCATGGTTACCCCGGCTGAACTCAATATCCGCGCCAGCTCTTTTCTCCGAGGCCCCGCGAGCGGCCACTTGCCCGAGGCCGTCATCGCTCGAACCTGCCGAGCGGAGCGCTCGGCTGATTATATTCCATTTCTGGATCGGCCCCGAGGCGCTCTCCCGCGCGCACACCACCTGCAGGGAGAGGTCCGCAGAGCTGTCGAGAGCGAAAAAGACAGCCCGGCGAGATTGCGCTCATAATATTTATTGTTTTCGGTAATGAAGGATCGGACAAACAACCCACGCCTCTCTACGGGGGTGTGCAACGATAACGTTGCTTTGTTTTCCGTTTGCTCATTGTACCGTGCGAAAGAGAATTGTAAAAAAATTCTTGTCCATTAGGCCGTACGAGTCCCGTGTGACCTTTTTTTCAACGAATGCGCCGTTGGAAAAAAATAAAGTTTGATTTGGCAGTTTGAGGTTTTAACTTTTACAATATAGTTTTGGAAATTCATTCGTACAAGCGTTGGGGCAAAAAGCTTTTCCACCAGTGTAATGTACATCTCATACAAAGCGCTCTTTTCCAAGGAGGCTGTGTTGCAATACATGGATGTATATTATATTTACAACCGTAAAAAAAAAAAAAAAAAAAAAAAAAAAAGAAAAAAGGTCAAAAATAGTTTGGAAAAAATAAAAGTTTTAACATAAATTAACGAGCAAACCGTATACGTGTATCCTCGGAGCGAACGCGAGCGTCAAATTTAAAAGAGAGCGAGAGGGATAATGAAAGAAGCCGGAGGCGCGCGAAACGAGGAAAAAAAGGAGAGGAAGAGAGAGAGAGAGAGAGTGGAAGCATCGCCAAAACTAAGCCTCGGGCGACCCAACGTTGGAAGACAGTTCGAAATTCAAGGAACCACACAGCTCCTGCAAAGTATATATCTATATGTATATTATACGTACAGAAAATGAGAGAACTCCTCGCCGGAGGGGCGCTTAAGTAGCTGTGGGCGAACGAAAATGCACGAGCATACATTATGCACATAGGTATACCAATATTATACTTATGAGGAGCGCCAGATAACATACTTTTTTTTTATCTAATTACTTTTTACGCTCGAGCATTTAAAATTTGAAAGTTGACCACTTGAGGGGCTCTGTCTTGTTTATTTAGAAGAAAAATAAATTAGTGTATTGATGAAACGTGTTTCTTAATGAATGTGTCGCGTGTAAAATGAAGCATTCATTACCGTGTACCCTTTCCAATTTTGTTGTACCTTCAAATTTTCGGTGCAGCGAGTATAGTTGGTTGATGCGTTGTGAAATTGCTGGTTGTACTTATAATTTTCATAACGTGCCTTATTTTCAATACTTTTTTGAGTAAAAGTGCATTTTAACTGACATGGTTCTTTTGAAAATATGTTTTGCCAAGCTCAAAGTATCGAGTATGCTCGTAGGCCATATAGTTGATAGAAATTTTAGTAAAATGACTCTTACAAGTCACAGATGGATACAGCTGAAAGAGCGTTGATGATTATTTTTGTGATTTTTTCATCTTTAAAATTGCTCAGCAAAAAAAGAGAAGCACTCATCGTTAATTGATGAAAAAATGTCCAAGTTCACTATCAATTCAAGTTGGGTTCACGACAATTGTTCATTTAAGTCAGTTGATAAATTTTAGAAGCACAATAGCAATAGCAGCGCTCTTCGTATCCTCACACGTTGTGGTAAAAATCTGAAGCTCTCAAAGTGGGCTATATTTGCACACAAGTATACGCACCATATTCAAACGCTAGATGGATGGAGCTTTTCTCGCAAGTGGCGGGATTTCAGCTCGATTAGTATATAAGAAAGCTGTTCTCGTACGCTCAACGTGTTGTATGAAAGGAGAGAAGTTTAGCACTCCCCTAGACAAGGATGGAACACACAAACTCGTAAGGCACTCGTCGCATTGCGCGGCACTTACGAACATTTTTTTTTACTTTAAAGCCTCTTAATACTTATTCAATATACTTCCTAACTTACTTGTTTCGGCAATTTTGGGAATTACATTCATTCGTTATTATATTTTATTAATTAATTACGTATCAATTACATATTGTTGTTACACGTCAATTACGTTTTCAATCGTCAAAGAACTGTAGTCGATCATTATCATCATTATTGTTGTTATAAGTAATGTAAATTTGTAATCTTAGTACTTTGATATGTTGCTTAATATATCATGTAATCTGTAATCTGACTTAAACGAAAACAAATGATTTTGAACTAAAGTATAAAATTAACCTCTAAAAAAATAAAGCCCACCTTACCTTTTTTTCGCTTTATATTACAATCACAGACTGCAGTTTATAACTCGCACAATTTAAATCATCAATGTTGTATGAAGTTTTCTTCTTTTAAAATACTGTTTATATATATATATATAGTACATCACACACAACAAACGAAGTAACTCCATGTAACAAAATTATCATTTTAAAGTACTTGAAAAACACGTTAAATCAAAATGGCATGCTTAAATATTATGTATGTTCCAAACTTAATTACTTTAGTGTATAAAATATAAATATTTCAACGAAAAACACTTTGTTTATGCAAATTAAATTGATATTCATTGACTTGATCAAGTGTCGACACTTCGACTAGTTTCCTAGCTTAGTAAATTTTTCTAGTGACATTCCCTAGCCTAGTAAGTTTTGCTAGTACTAGATAAAATTTTTCACTTTTATTTATTTAAATCATTTAAATTTTTCTTGCAACGTGAATTTCTTTGAAAAGAGATTATATATATGGTGCTTTTTAAGTTTGTTTGGGATCAGGCTCGCTAGATGGCGTTGTACTGTTTTCATTTTCCCTAGCAATACGTTACTATTTAAATACGTACTAATAGAATAAATGTAACAATTAATTACGTACTCTAAGGACCAGCCTTACTTTGTATTTTTATGAATTGTTAAGCGCAACATTAGTATTCTAAGCGCACGAATGTTTCAATAATTTACTTATATTCAAACCAATGTATTGTATGTATAAATATATGTAAATATCATTAAATGTATCCAGTAGTGTACTGGCATATATGTATATTCAATACGACGCCAATAAATGAATTAAATCAAATCAACCTTGCAATACGCTGGCATATGTAAGAAAATACAAAGCCAATAAACTAACTTAAACCTAGCAATACTATAGTAATTAATTATTTAATCGAAAATCGACCTCCAAAACAATAAATATTCTACTTATCTTATATGGCTTATAAAATCGACCATATTTACAAAATTACAATACTTTAGACCTTTTACCATTAACTTATTGAAGCACAGCTCTTTAACTTTATAGTTTCAATAAACAGTTAACTTATATATAATATGTACATAGAAAAATTTGTGTTACAAAAATCTTGAATAACGATCAAATAGATACGTAAATTAATCAGTCTAAAAGAGAGGACTAAAGAAAAAAGAAGATCAACAGTGGAAACGTGAAACACATCACTATATTTCCTTGATTCCTTTGTAATAATAATGCTGGTGACTACAATGTGTGAAGGTATTGAAATACATTGCAAACACCAATAAACGAGTATTGGAACAAAAATAAACCCTTGTTTATTTAATCTAAGGTTACCTCATAAAGTTGATTAAACATGAAAGAAAACGTGGATGGTTTTTTTTATATGAATTTTATTACAAAAAAAAACTTTGAATATCAAATGAAATTTTCACAAGAGCTAATAAAAATTAATATGTACATACCATTAGCAAATGAAATATTATTTGTTAGATTTTGTTACCCATACTTACTTGGAGACAAAAAAAAGTGTCCTAGCAGTCGCTTGCTGATAAAAAGTATTTTACATACTCTGTGTCATGAATAATTTTTTTCTGATTTGCTTTATAAATACGCTTTGAAAAATAGCATACAGTACAAAAACTGTTATTCAATTAATTTTATAAAATTTTTCACTTTTAATTATTTTAATTATTTAAATTT